TTGTTACTAAGTGGACAAGTGGAATATAAAAGAATATACATTCACCAGCAAAACGTGTAGTATCATATACAAGGTCAGACTGTTCTAGACTGCTGTACTTCATTTCAAGCTATAAAAACCACAGAAACTGAAAAGTCACTTAAAAAAATAATGCACTTCCTCGCAATACTATTTTGATTTAAGTGGCATTGAAGTTTGGGCTACTTACGGATAGTAAGAATAATCACAGCAATGATACCTGCATCTGGGAAAACATGAAAACAGTTTGAAGATAATTGAGCACACAAGGGTCCCAGAGAGTAGTCGCATTTAATCTTGCTCAGATCATACACTATATCTATACACGACAGCAAAGAAAGAGTTCCTCAGTGTAGTTTTAGCATGACTGCTAGTGTGTCCAGATCATTCCGATCACAGAGCCCTTGGACTCTGATCCCACATCCAGGGGCCATCTTGTGAAACTCTTAATTGGAATCGCTTTTCATTGTTTTGTGTTGTGGCTACTACATCAGGTTATTTAGTAAAGCTTATTGGGCACTTAGAATTCCCTACATGGGAGGAAATTACCTACATGTGTCTACACATAAGTACCACTTATGTTTATCATGTTATCTGGACTATTAAAATCACTATCAATGTCAAATTTTATGAAACTTGGTTCCTTCCTTAACTACAAATAATTGCAACACGATAGCTATTTCTATATAGTACTCCAAGGTTTCATAAGGAAGAGTAATTAATAGCCAAAATAATACCTAATTCCTCCAGTTCTTCGAATAATGCTGATTCATTGGGCTCAGGATAGCCTGGGGGGCAAAATGGAAAAAAAGAAGAAAGACTAAACCTTAAAGATCCATAAATTCACTGGTTTTTATTTTTTGCTTTTGTACGAAACTGCTAATAATTTCATTTTCCTTATATATTAATGTTTCTTAATAAAAATATCATAAGTTATAAATTTATATTTGATGTCACCAACAATCTTCTTCCTCTACATTGGTATTGCCTGTGACAAGATTCTGCAGTATGGCAAGCAAATTTATCACCACCGCATCCTCAAAATTAGCCTGAATTCAACATGAGTCTACTTAAAATTAAAAGATAGAGGAGGACTTTAAAACAATTTAGAAGTTGGTCAGGAATAGAAAGACTCTTCAACATAATAAAAGCCATTTATGAAAAACCCATAGCCAACATCATATTTAAGACTGCAAGTTTTCCTTTAAGATCAGGAACAGGACAGGGTGCTTATGTTTGTCACTTCTATTCAACATAAATACTGCAAGTTCATATTAGAGCAATTAGATAAAAAAAATAAAATAAAAAGCATCCAAATTGGGAAGAAATAAGATGATCTCTGTTCACACATGACATGATATTTTACATAGAAAACTCTAAAGATCACACACACACACACACACACACACACACACACACCTAGTACAACCAATAAATGAATTCAGTAAAGTTGCAGGATACCAAATCAACATGCAAAAATCAATTGTGTTTTGGGGCACCTGGGTGGCTCAGTCGGTTGAGCATCCAACTTCAGCTCAGGTCATGATCTCACACTCTGTAGGTTCGAGCCCTGCGTCGGGCTCTGTGCTGACAGCTCAGAGCCTGGAGCTGCTTCGGATTCTGTGTCTCCCCCTCTGTCTGCCCCTCCCCTGCTCATGCTCTGTCTCTCTCTAGTTGATGGGGAGTGGGAGGGAGGGGTGGGCGGGTGATGGGTATAGAGGAGGGCACCTGTTGGGATGAGCACTGGGTGTTTTATGGAAACCAACTTGACAATAAATTTCATATTAAAAAAATAATAATAAATAAAATAAATTAAAAAACATCAATTGTGTTTGTACACACTAACAGTAAGCAATGTAAAAAGGAAATTAAGAAAACAATTCCATTTACAATTGAATGAAAAGGAGCTACCCTATGACCTGGCAATTGCACTACTAGATATTTATCCAGAGGATATAAAATGCTGATTCAAAGGGGCACACGCACCCCGATGTTTATAGAAGCACTATTGACAATAACGAAATTATGGAAAGATGCCCATTGACTGATGAATAGATAAAGAAGATAAGGAATATATTTAAAATGGAATATTACTCAGTGATTAAAAACAATGACATCCTGCCCTTTGCAACAATGTGGATGGAACTAGAACGCATACATTCAATATGTGCGAAGCGAAATAAATCAGTTGGAGAAAGACAAATATATTATTTCACTCATATGTGGAATTTAAGAAGCAAAGCAGATGAACATAGGGGAAGAGAAGGAAAAGTAAGAGAAAAACAGAGAGGGAGGCAAACCATAAGAGACCCTTTTTAAAAAATGTTTGTTTATTTATTTTCCTAAAAATAATTTATTGTCAAGTTAGCTAACCTACAGCGCATACAGTGTGCTCTTGGTTTGGGGAGTAGATTCTCATGATTTCTTGCTTACATACAACACCCAGTGCTCATCTTAACAAGTGCCCTCTTTAATGCCCATTACCCATTTCCCCTCCCTCCTGCCTCCCCCTTCAACCCTCAGTTTGTTCTCTGTATGTAACAGTCTCTTAGGTTTGCCTCCCTCTCTCTTTATAACTATTTTTTCCCCTTCCATTCCCCCATGGTCTTCTGCAAAGTTTCTCAAGTTCCACGTATGAGTGAAAACATATGGTATCTGTATTTCTCTGACTGACTTATTTCACTTAGCATAATACCTTCCAGTTCCATCCATGTAGTTGCAAATGGCCAGATTTCATTCTTTCTCATTGCCAAGTAGTAATCCACTGTATCTATAAACCACATCTTCTTTATCCATTCGTCAGTTGATGGACACTCAACAATTTGGCTATTGTTGATAGTGCTGCTATAAGGAGACTCTTAAATACAGAGAACAAACTGAGGATTGCTGGAGGGGTGGTTGGTGGGAGGATGGGCTAAATGGGTGATGGGCACTAAGGAAGGCACTTGATGGGATGAGCACTAGGTGTTATATGTAAATGATGAATCATGAAATTCTATTCCTGAAACCATAATTACGCTATAGTTAGCTAACTTGGATTTAAATAAAATTCTAAAAAAATAATAAAAGACTTTGGAATAAACTTCACAAAGGAGGTAAAAGATTTGTACACTGAAAACTATAAAACACCGCAGTAAGAAACTTAAAAAGACATAAGTAAATGGAAAGAAATCCTGTGTTCATGGATTGGAGGACCTAATAAAGTTAAGATGCCAATGTGATATGAAGCAACCTACAGATGAAGTGCAACCCACCAAAAGCCTAATGATGCTCTTTGCAGAAATAGAAAAATCCATTTGAAAATTCATATGGAATCTCAAGGGACGAGGAATAGTTAAAGCAATCATGAAAAGAGAAGGCAAAGTTGGAAGGACTTGTACTTCCTGATTTCAAAACTTACTACAAGTACAATAATCAGAACAGAATGGCACTGGCATAAAGCAGGGCACCTGGGTGGCTCAGTCAGGTAAGCGTCTGACCCTTGATTTTAGCTCATGTCATGATCTCATGGTTTGTGAGTTCAAGCTCCATGTCAGACTCTGAGCTGATGTCATGAAGCCTGCTTGGGATTTTCTCTCTCCCTTTGTCTCTGCCCTTCCCCTGCTCTCTCTCTTTCAAAAGTAAATAAACATTAAAAAAACAAAAGACAGACAGACCAATGGAATAGAAGAGAGGCCACAAAATAAACCTTTGCATATATAGTCAAATAATTCTCTACGAGGGTGCTATCAAAATTCAATAGGGAAAGAGCCAACTTCTCACAAATGGTTTTGAAAACTGGATATCCACATACACAAAAGGATGAATTTGAACACTTGCCATACACCAAACACAAAAGTTAATTCAAAATCGATCAAAGACCCTAAATATCTAAAACCATAAAACTCTTAGAAGAAAATAAGAGTTCAGGCTTCATGTTGTTGGATCTGGTGATGTTTTATTGAATGTGACACCAAAAGCATAGGCAACAAAAGGAAAAACCAAACAAATTAGACTACATTAAAACTAAAAACTTTTGTGCATCAAAGGACACTAACAATAGAGTGAAAAAACGACCCACAGAACGGGAAAAAAAAACATTTGAAAATCATATATCTAATAAGGGATTGAGATCCAAAATATAAAATGAGCTCCTAAAACTCAAAAACAAGACAGAAAAACAACCCATCAAAAATGGACAAAGGACTTGAATAGACATTTCTCCAAAGAAGATATACAAATGGCCATTAAGCACACAAGAGGATGCTCAACACATTATTACATATATTATGATGGTTATTACCAAAAAGCAGAAAATAATACATGTTGATAGAGGTCAAGAAATTGAAACTTTTTCAAATTAAAACAAACAAAAAAAAGAAATTTAAATTTTTTTTTGAGAGAGAGAGAGAGCACAGGCAATAGAGGTAGAGAATCCCAAGCAGGCTCTATACCCAGTGTGGAGCCTGACACAGGGCTGATCTCATGGTACTGAGATCATAATGTGAACCAAAACCAAGAGTTGGACGCTTAACCGAGCGAGTCACCTAGGCATCCCACGAAATCGGAACTTTTGTTGCTGATGGGAATGTAAAATGGTATAGCCACTATGGAAGACAGTATGGTTGTTCCTCGAAAAAGTGAACACCGAATTGTCATATAACCAGCAATTCTCCTAGATATAGAGCACCCCAAAATTGCAAACAGGGGCCCAAAATTAAAACTTTTCAATTGTTAAGTTCACAATTGAAAGTAGGACTCAAACACTTGAAAGCCAATATTCAGAGATACATTATTCAGAGTAGCCAAAATGTGGAAAAAACCCAACAAGTGTCTTTTCAACAGATGAATGAACAAACAAAATGTACAAAACAATGGAATATTATTCAGCCATAGAAAGGAATGAAGTTCTGATACATGCTGCAAGGTGGATGAACCTTGAAAACATTATGCTACGTGAAATAAGGCAGAAATGATTCCACTTCTATGAAGTAGCTCGACTAGTCAAATTTATAAAGACAGAAAACAGAATGGTTACCAGGGATGGGGTGGGGGGGGGGCGGGGGCGGATTGAGAGTTATTGTTTAATGTGTATAAGGTTTCAATTTGAGATGATGAAAAAGTTTGGGGGATAGTGCTGGTTACAAACAAGGTAGATGCACTTGATGCCACTGAAATGCACACTGAAAATGGTTAAAACAGTAATAAAATATAATACAAGTTTATCTAGAAAAACTAATATACAGAATAGTCTAAGTGTTGCTGAAAAGGAAGTGTTCTGCCAGATATTAAAACAAATTATAGTGGGGCACCTGGATGGCTCAGCTCAGGTCACGACATCATGGTTCGCAGGTTCAAGCCCCACGTCGGGCTCCGTGCGGTCAGTGAGGAGCCTACTTGGGATTCTCTCTCTCTCCCTCTCTCTCTGCCCCTCCTCTGCTCTGCTCTCACTCTCTCCCTCTCAAAATAAATAGACTTAAATAAAAATTTAAAAAAACCCAAAATATATCATAGTATTATAGTGGGGGAAAAAAATGACTCAGTGTTGTTACAAGAATGGCCAGAGTTCAAGGAAACATAAAGATGACTGGAAAACAGTTGGAGAGAGGACAACTTATTCAACAGATGTTGCTATTTCACCATTACAAGGGGGTGGGTAGAGTGGAGAGGAGACCTATCTCACTCCATTTGTCAGAATGAATTTCAGATGCACCAATGATTTAAATGCAAAGAATACAATCAGAACACAGGGTTGAAATGTTTATAAAGTTTTAGCATGGGAAAAGCCTAAAGCTTTTATAAGACAGACAAAACACACACAGCCATTAGGGAGAAGATCGATACGTCCATCAGTCCATCTACTTATTGATGTAAAATTTCTATACATGTAAAAGACCACTAACAGAATAGTTAAATAAATAAATACTGTATACATTTCGAAGTCATCATCAGAAAGAATGGCAATAAATCTAAATACAACCCCAATATAAGACATTCAATGGGAAAAGGGCAAGTTTCAAAAAATTACATACAAGATGATGTCAATTTTGTTTAAGATAAAAGAAAAAATGCCCAACTATATGTATAACTACACATCTAAGGATGTTGACGTACAGAAATAAAGAGAAACCCTAAACTATTAACAGTTACTGACTCAACTAAAAGACTAGAGAAAAAGAAGGGTAATTCTTTACTCTGTATACTTTCACAATGTTTGAAAATTTATAAAAATATATCATCCATTTACCACTCATGTAACAAAATGTTACAAAAAGGCATCTCTAACCAGTAGTACACCATAAAAATCTTAAAAGAAAACTGACCAGTGAAAATAAGGCCCCAAAGCCCCTGAAAAAATGTTCACTTCGTATTAAAAGTGTTTTAACTTACAATGAACCCTCACAAATCAACAAGAAAAATATTTTAGAAATCTAATTTTTAAAAAATGAGCAAAGGGCCTGGATAAATCAAAGTGGGGCAAAAAAGTTCAAATTCTTTGATGATAATTAAAGAAATGCAAATTAGAACAAGACACAACGTGGCACTCATCACCTTATCAAGTTGTTAACTATATAAGCAGGAGGAAGTATTACTGAACCTGGATACTTTGAAACTGGAGGTTTGGTTGGATGAGTAGGCTTGAAACCTGGAAAAGTAAATTGGATACAATTCACTAGCCTTATCAACACAAAATTATGGATTTAATTTTGAATTATTTTCAAAAAAGACTCATTATTTCTCAAAATGAAAAATACAAATACTTTCCAAAGTTTGCAATTCTACTGCTGGGAATGTAGTCTAATGTATATTTGCACAAGTTCATAAGCGTGTATGACTAAAAATGTTCCCTACAACTTTGTATTTTATATGGAAATCCTAGAAGTTGACTAATAATAAATCATAAAAATAATGTGTTCAGGGTAAACACACATATTTGTAAAAAAAAATACCATCCAAGTCGTATCATACTACATAAGAAGGTGTACCTTTTTCTCTTCTGCCTTGTATTTCTTGGACTTAAAAAATATTTGCACATTTAGATCTGCTTTAACACCATTATCTGTTGCTGGTCCTTATGATATAGTCTTTCTCTGACCGATGAAAAAAAAAATGATTGACAATCCCATGGAGAGTTTTGATTTTGATTTTTTAAAAAGGATCCCTGTAGTTTGTCCTCTTTATAAGCTTTTTCTTACCATTTTTCTTCTAAAAACTAAACTGTATCAGTGTTTTATAAGTCCTTTATGAAATGCTTATGGTTCAACTCTTTCAAAAGAACATATCAACAAACATAGGATACACCACAGTGCATATACTCACTAGGATCATGTAAGTAAATACGGATGGTTCATGGAGTATAAATTTCATATGCAATCTTAATAAATCAGTCCACCAAAAAAACCATTTTCTTTCCCCCCAAACCTCATAGCCCTCAACTAAAGCACACAAGGAGGGTATCAGGTACTAGGTTTACAGGAATTATTTAAAAAATATATTCTAATTACCGTATTAACATGCATAATTCCACAAATCCTTTAAAATACTATGGCCATAGGAAATATACAAACAAATTAAAAGCTATTAATCATGATCTGTTTGAGTTCAACACTTTCAAAAAACAAGAAGCTAAAGTCCACAGAAATGAGGTTACTTGAGTAAGCTGAGCCAAACCAGGACCTTAGTGAGGTCGCCCAGGATAATGTTCTTCCCACTATTCCTGTTGTCTCTTGCTTCTGATGGAAAGAGAGGCCAAAGATAGGAGCACTGAAATCAGGAAGATATTTCCTTCCAACGTAGTAAAAATGATCTTTCAAGTCTTGAACAAAGTAGCTGACCTATAGGAAATCCTTCATTTCATTTCATTTCAATGAATAAGGATTTTTCCTGCCTTTCAGTTGCTATGAAGTTTAGGTGCAGTTGCCAAATAAAAATGCCCAGTAAACGGAAAAAGAAAAATTGTATGAAGTTGGAAGGGGTGGGGGTGGGGGGAGGACATACAGGTCTTATTTGGAGATAGCAGATATTTCCCAGTTTAAATTGTGCTACGTAAAAAACAACAAACTAAACTGGTTGTAGTCCAGCAAGTGAAACATAGTCCTAGACCAGGAAGATACCCTGGGAGCAAACTGATCACTTTAAAAAAAAAAAAAAAAAAAGAAAAAAGAAACAGCAAAGTCGACCCAGAAAACACACGTTAAAAAACAGAAGCCATAAGCCTTCCTCTTCACTGATACTAATTCGAGTGCTGCTATAAGTCATATGAGCTACCTTTACAAGCTCCCCATATGCCAGGTACTATGCTAAGTGTTAAATGCATCCCACTTAAACGGTATGTAACCTTCCCAAGTTTACATACCTGTTTATATCTGTGGACTCTGCCAAATAATTTTAGAAAAACTAAATAGAACTAAAATGGCTGTAAATACATCCTTCACCCTTTCACTACTCAAAATGTGAATGACTATAAATCACATAAATGTAAAGGATTGTTGTAAAATATAAGCAGGAAAGTACAAATCGGAATGACTCAAAATTAGAGGTTTTATTTTGGGAGAAATCTGTACCGAAAAACGAAATAATGTAGAATCAATGACTTCAGAATTATTGGCTTCATTTCATTTATATAAATGAATATTATTCTTTTATTCTTGACTTATAAGTGTAAATAAATGTACGTAAAATTCTTTTAGTCTTGACTTACAAATGTAAAAAATTCTCATGCTTCAGTCTACTCTAAAAGTGGTTGCTAGGGGCGCCTGGGTGGCTCAGTCGGTTGAGCGTCCGGCTTCGGCTCAGGTCATGATCTCACGGTTTGTGAGTTGGAGCCCCGCGTCGGGCTCTGTGCTGACAGCTCAGAGCCTGGAGCCTGTTTCGGATTCCCTCTCTCTCTGCTCCTACCCTGCTCACATTCTGTCTCTCTCTCTCTCTCTCTCTCTCTCTCTCTCAAAAATAAACATTAAAAAATTAAAAAAAAATAAATAAAAAATAAAAGTGGTTGCTATACATTTTTGCACATAAAAATACTAAATGAGAAATTTGTATGTGATGTAGATAACGTGGAAAGACCCTATGAAAACGTACAAAATCACAACATAGGAATGATGTCATATCTCCATCATGTAAATAAATATAAGATGGAACAAAATACTAAATTTTTTAAAATTATTTGTTTTCACTGATATTTCATGTCAAAAAAATTAAAACTAAAAAGATGGGAAAAAAAAAACACATTTGTACCTTTAATACATGTCGGCATCTCAGGTTCCCAAGTATTTCTCCCACCACAGAACACTGGGTTGCTGCCATTAAGATAGAAACCTGGGAGGCATTCAAATAGAACCACTGCTTGGTAGGAATAGGTTTCTCTGACTCCTGATACCAGTCTTCCATTCACAAGTACTGGATGTTCACATCTGACCACTGAAAAGTACAGAAACTCTGGAATTAATGGAAAGCTGCTTTAACATAGGATTAGAAAAAATAGCACCAAGTAGTAATTTCCAGCGGGAAGAAACATACAAGAAATGAAAGGCAAGGTGTTAAAAGAAAAAAAAAAATACCCAAGAAACCTTTATACATATGCACATTTTAATTCCAATGAAATGGATTTAGAGAAATCTAATAACTTTTTTCCATCTAGAGAGACTGTCATTAGACTTTATTGACTTTCCTACATTTTTTTCCATTACTGACAATTTTTTTTGACATTTATTTATTTTTTGAGAGACATAGAGAGACAGAGCACAAGTTGGGGAGGGGCAGAGAGAGAAGGAGACACAGAATCGGAAGCAGGCTCCAGGCTGTGAGCCATCAGCACAGAGCCCGATGTGGGGCTTGACCTCATGAACTGTGAGATCACGACCTGAGCTGAAGTCGGACGCTCAACCGACTAAGCCACCCAGGTGCCCCTCCATTACTGACAATTTTTGAGAAAGGTCTGACCACCACATACAAATTCGAGGCAAGTTTTGATCTTCATCAATTCTAGGGATTTTTTTAAAAGGTCATGCTGACACTGGCTGCGGTACCCTGCTTTTCTAGAAAGGTAAGAAAGACTTTTCTGAGAAGGTAATACT